TACAAATTCAAAATTACAACTTTAAAATTTTAAAATATTTTCATTGTTTAGTTTTAACAGACTATATTACTTTATAACAGAAGGAAAATTACTCATATTAAGTAAGATTATTTTTCCATATCAGTATATATGTAAATTTTTTTTTTTTTTTTTTTTTTTTTTTTTTTTCTTTTTAAATTTAAATATTATTTAAAGTAATATTAATGGCACTTACACAAAACTAACTAAGTCATTTCAAGATTTAGTAAACTTTATTTATTTATTAATTAATTAATTTATTTATTTCAAATATATGTAACCTAATTAATAAAGTTTCATTTATTATAAATAACATGTTAGAATTATTTTTATTTTACTACAATTTTAATTTCAATTTTAAAATTTTAAATTATAACTTTAAAATTTTTTAAATATTTTCTTATTAGTTTTAATTTTGACTATATTACTTTTATAAAGAAGGATAATTACTCATAGTAAGTAAAAATTTTTTTCCCCATCAAAGTATATGTAAATTACAATTTTAATATTTTAATTTAGATATTATTTAAGTAAATTAATGGCCCAGACTACAAAACTATTTAAGTCATTTTCAGAATTAGTAAAAATTCAAGTTTAAGTATGTGGCATTACATTTTTTTTTTTTTTTTTTTATTATATATAAACCTATATAATGTTTCTGGTATTATATTAATTTTATTTTACTATATTTGCTTTTTTTGGGATCTTTTCGTGTAGTATTATTTAAAAAGAAACTTAGGTTAGAATTTTCAATTTAACTTTAATTTTAGTTTCAATTTTAAAAATTACAACTTTTTTAAAATATTTTCAAGTTATATTAGACTATATTAAAACAGAAGGAATATTACTCGTAAGTAAATTATTTTTTCAATATCCAAGTATATGTAAATTACAATTTTAAACCTTTATATTTTAAAATATTATTTTAGTAATATTAATGGTTAAGTCATTTCTCGGATTTAGTAAACTTTATTTATTACTTAATTTATTTATTTATTTTAAATATATGTAACCTAAGTAGTAAAGTTTCATATGTATGTACCAAGAACAGGTTAGAATTCATTTTATTTAACTACAATTTTAATTACAATTTTAAAATTACCACATTAAAATTTTAAAATATTTTCATGGTTAGTTTTAATTGACTATATTACTTTATAACAGAAGGATAATTACTCATAGTAAGTATAATTATTTTCCATAACAAAGTATATGTAAATTACAATTTATCAAATCAAATCACCCCCCATCTATAATTAAACATATACCGTTATCTATAAGTAAACGAATTAGTACAAATTCAGCTAATAACAAGATTTTGATGAGCATATCAATGGCTATAATAAGGCTCTAAAAAGATAGTGGCTATAAAAACCCCAAAACTAGCGTATATAAAAAATGAAAATGGAAAACATAGAAAAAACAGATGTAGAAAATTATTTTTCCCCATATAACCAAATGGTAAAGAACAGATTAGGACATAAATTCCTCACATTAATAGTCAAGATTTCCCTTGTGAAAATAAACTAAGTACTATTTTCAATAAAAAAACACACTAAAATTAAGTTATAGCTGTACAAAGAACTTAGAAAAATCATTAAGAACCATAATGCTAATATCTTAAATAAACTTATACCAAAACCAAAAAAAATTTAGACAATAGAAAAATTAAGATAAAAACTGATGTAAATAAATAAAAAAAACTATGTAATTGTCGAAACCCTCAAAATTGCCCACTACAAAATAAATGTTGCACTGAATCATTAGTATACCAATGCAATATCTCTTCGATTGAAAATCCTGATAACATAAAAATATATATAGGTTGCACTAGCCATGAATTCAAAAAAGATTCAACCAACATCAAACTTCATTTAGAATAAATAAATATAAAATCAAACATCTCTCTCAAAATATTTCTGGCATCTAAAAAGAATCAAATAAAACACCTACAGTAAAATGGAAGTTAATAAGAAGAGCTAGAATTTGTAGATCATTAAACGACCCGTGTCCTCTATGTATACAAGAGAAACTATATATTACTAAGTTTATAAAAATAAAAATTTACTGAATCAGAGAAATGAAATAGCTATTATATGCCGTCATTGTCAAAATTTTCCTTAAATAATATATAAAAAAAAAAAAAAAAAAAAAAAAAAGTCTATTGAATGGCAGGAAAATGTTTTAAACTGTTATTTAAAATTGTGGTTAAAACGTATTAAAACATAAACACCGTTTAAAAAATTGGGTTAAATAAAATGTATCCTAACCGAAACACCTCTATAATAAATGTACTACAAAACACTTGAATGAATAAGGATAAAACACCTCCTGAAAAATGAAATTATAACTAAAGCTAGATGATGTAAGGTAATGTATGACCCATTGTTCTTTGTACATACATATGAAACTTTATTACTCAGGTTACATATATTTAAAATAAATAATTTAATTAATTAATACATAAAGTTTACTAAATCTGAGAAATGTTTTTAGATAGTTTTGTAGTCTGTGCCATTTATATTTTAAATATTTAAATATAATAGTTTAAAATTGTAATTTATATATACTTTGTTATGGAAAATAATTATACTTACTATGAGTAATTATCCTTCTGTTATAAAGTAATATAGTCAATTAAAACTAACCAGAAAATATTTTAAAATTTTAATGTGGTAATTTTAAAATTGTAATTAAAATTGTAGTTAAATAAAATGAATTCTAACCTGTTCTTGGTACATACATATGAAACTTTACTACTTAGGTTACATATATTTAAAATAAATAAATAAATTAAGTAATAAATAAAGTTTACTAAATCCGAGAAATGACTTGGCTAATTTTGTAGTAAGTTCCATTAATATTACTAAAATAATATTTTAAAATATAAAGGTTTAAAATTGTAATTTACATATACTTGGATATTGAAAATAATTTTACTTACTATGAGTAATATTTTTTCTGTTATAAAGTAATATAGTCTAATATAACTAACAATGAAAATATTTCAAAAGTTTAAAGTTTGTAATTTTAAAATTGAAACTAAAATTAAAGTTAAATTGAATGAATTCTAACCTAAGTTTTTTAAATAAATACTACACGCACTAAAAAGAATTCAAAAAAAGCAAATATAGTAAAATAAAATTAATATGAAATGCCATAAGATGTAAGCTTTTTGAATGACCCATGTCCTTTGTACTTACATGAGAAACATATATCACTAGGTTTATATATATATATCAAAAAAAAAAAAAAAAAAAAAAAATGTAACCTCATATACATACTTAAACTTGAATTAATACAAAAAGTTTACTAATTCTGAAAAAATGACTTAGATAGTTTTGTAGTCTAAATTAATATTTTAAATAATATCTAAATTAAAAGTTTAAAAATTGTAATTTACATATACTTTGATAGGAAAAATTTTTTACTTACTATGAGTAATTATTTTTTCTGTTATAAAGTAATCTAAATTAAAACTAACAATGAAAATATTTTAAAATTTTAAAGTTATAATTTAAAATTTTAAAATTGAAATAAAAATTGTAGTAAAATATAACATGTTATTTATATATATGAAACTTTATTAATTAGGTTACATATATTTGAAATAAATAAATTAATTAATTAATAAATAAATAAAGTTTACTAAATGAGAAATGACTTAGCTAGTTTTGTAGTAAGGCCATTAATATTACTTAAATAATATTTAAATTTAAAGAGAAGAAAAAAAAAAAAAAAAAAAAAAAAAAATTTACATATACTTTGATATGGAAAAATAATCTTTACTTAATATGAGTAATTTTCCTTCTGTTATAAAGTAATATAGTCTATTAAAACTAAACAATGAAAATATTTTAAAATTTAAAGTTTAATTTTGAATTTGTAATTAAAATTGTAGTTAAATTGAATGAATTCTAACCTAAATTTCTTTTTAAATAATACTACACGCATTAAAAAGAATCCAAAATAACACCTATAGTAAAATAAAATTAATATGAAATACCATAACATGTAAGAAAAATGACCCATGTCTCAGTACTTACATGTGAAATATTATAATAATAGGTTTATATATAAAAGAAAAGTTTATGAATCAGTGAAATAACCATTTCTTGCTGTATAGTCATATATAAAAAAAAAAAAAAAAAAAAAAAATGTAACCTCATATACATTTTAAACTTAATGTTAAAATAATCCTACATAATATAATGGATTCTAATACATTTAACTGTTTTAAAAAGAAATTTTTTAAAAAATTAAAAGGGAAAATATTTCAAACTGAAATAAAAAGTATTAAAAAAAATCTTTAATTTTAAAATGATGTTGAAAAATTTTGTTAACAATTTTTTTTTTTTTTTTTTAAACAGACGACATCCATTCAACTTGACGTCAGGTTTCTGTGTAAAATAAACCCTTACCAAAATGTGCTAATGCAATTTTGATAAAAAATCTAGACACCCCGTGTTCAATTTGAGAAATATTCTGTAACCATGGAAACGTGATTTTAGCTGTGTATTTAAACCCGGTAAATTTTAAAAGTTACTCCAAAAAATTCGCTTGAAGATGAAATAGAACTAATGCTTTTAATTTATTTGCAAAATAAAATTAGGGTTTTTAGCTTCTATTTTTGAAACATGGTTATGTGTAGCGAAAATAACCATATTTTTTAAATCAATTAATTTATAATATTAATGCTCTGTAAATTTACATTGAGCACTATTTTGTAAAAATAAAATATCTATAAGAACACCGGATTTTTATATCTTATCTATGCTTTGTTTTACATTTTTTTTTCTAAATAACCACTACAATCAAAACGTTTGCGGCACTCTCTTTTCTTCTTATATATATATATATATATATATATATATATATATATATATTATATATTAAAAATAAGGAGGTCAGTTGAATCTAAACTTGGTTTCATAAAAATCTTGCTTGCTTTGATAAAATCTGAGGTTATCGTAAGGTTCTAGTGGATTATCTATCTATCTATTCATCTATATATCCATCCATCTATCTATCTATTCATTAGTCTATCTATCTATCTATCTATCTATCTATCCATCCATCTATCTATCTATCACCATTGGCTATTCATTATCTATCTATCCATCCATCCATCCTATCTATCTATCCATCTATCCAGTCCATATCTATCTATCTATCTATCCATCCATCTATCTATCCATCCATCTATCCATCCACCATCCATCTATCCATCTATCTATCTGTCTATCTATCTCAGTCTGTTCTATCTATCTATCCATCTATCTATCTATCTATCCATCTATCTATCTATCTATCTATCTATCTACCATTATCTATCTATTCATTCATTCATCTATCTATCTATCTATCTATCTATCTATCTATCTATCTATCTACCCTTGGCTATTCATTATCTATCTATCTATCTATCTATCTATCTATCTATCTATCTATCTATCTATCTATTTTAAAAGTTAGGAGATCAGTTGAATCCGCTAATTTGGTTTCAACCTTACGGTATCCTTTGGCGATTTTTATCAAATGACATTTCAAATGTCATTTGATAAAAATCGATTGAGATTACTATACGGTTGAAACCAAATTTGCGGATGTTGACCATGTTTGCCGTAGTTTTTGGCTCACTAGCACACAGATGTATCCGAAAACTGCAACAGCGGATTCAACTGATCTCCTGATTTTTAAAGTTAAAAGGTCTACATGTTATTTTTACTTTTATTTTATTTTTTTTCACCCGTGTATTGAGCACTTTTTAATACTACTGGTTCTTGGTTTGATTCAACACTGACCATTAACCTTTTATTTATATATATATATATATATATATATATATATATATATATATATATGTATGTATGTATGTATGTATGTGTGTGTGTGTGTTTAAATAAGCAGGTGGAAATGTGAACATATCTTTATTGTTCAAGTCTTTACAGAATTTCACATGGAGCATATACACATGAACATATACGCTCAAGCATACTCTCACAAGTCCGAGTATCCACTGGACAGGATTAATTATCATTTCAAGTTAAGCTTCAATGGGAGAGGAATGTGCGAAGCCTGAACATATTACGAAGTTTGCTTTTAAATGCCAAACTGAAGATTAAAGATAATCTGAGGCCGTAGATTTGCATTCAGGTTAGAAGGAAGTCTCCGTATCGCCTCACAAATAATCCGGCAAGAACTTCCTAGTTCGCTTGTCATAAACAACAATTAATTTCTCGCCTGAAGCGAGTCGAAGCATAGAACCTTCCATGAATTCAAATGACATTGATGAGTAAATTGAATCGCGGTATTTGCTGTGTATCACGTTCACGGAGATAGGAGGAGAAATCGGTCTGAGAATATTTGTTTGCAGCAACTGTCAAGGGTTGGGGTAATTCTAATAATTCTATTTTGACGTGGGAATCGAGAGGATAAAAAGTCCTCTGTGCCGAAAATTTAAAAGAAAATGGGGTTGTCATGCATAGTAGAGGGCGAAAACTGATTCAGTTTTAAGGTCAAGAAATAGAATCATTCCAATGGAAGGGAGTACATTCCACTCAGGCACCTTTATCTCCAGAAACGTTGCCCTATAATACGAACTCTCGAAAAGATACTTTCCTGAATATTACAAGCTATACCTTTCCGAAACGAGCGTTAAACGTCATCTATCCAATATATCACCAAAATATGTACCTTCTGATAACAATCTAAAAGCAAGCCACGAAGATCATATCAATGCACTCTCGCCAACGTGATGTGCTAACTTGTATGTCTGTATTCATTCACTCAACACACACACACACACACACACACACACACACACACACACACACACATATATATATATATATATATATATATATATATATATATATATATATTTGTGGGTGTGTGTTAGTGTATTACCTAAAGAAATGTCCAAATGATCAAATGTGGGTACAAATTTATTTCTACCAGCGTTAAGTACGTTGACCTTATTCAACCCAGGCGAATGGAATATATTCGTATCGGAATAAAAAGATTTAGATTTTAACTTCAACCAGGTAAATGCCTATATATATATATATATATATATATATATATATATATATATATATATGAAGAAATATAGTTTTAAGGTGTGCTATATTTATGGGGATAAAGTGCTCAATATGAGAGATAGAGCGTATGTAAATATAAATATAAAAGGCTGTTTCATGCCGGACTCACACACACACACACACATATATATATATATATATATATATATATATATATATATATATATATATATATATATATATAAAGTATATATAAAGTATAATATATATATATATATATATATATATATATATATATAAAGTATATATATATATATATATATATATATATATATATATATATATATATATATATATATATATATATATATATATATATATATATATATATATATATATATATATATATATATATATATAAAGTATATATAAAGTTTACCGAAAAAACTCAATAACAAAAATTAAATTTATCAATTTCTATTCCCAACAAAACCGGAGAATAAATCTGGAATAATTATAGGATTTTATCTTATAGCTCCTAGGATATTTAGCCCTGAATAAATTAGTTAGTTACTTTATTACACGTGTAACTTATCTAACCAATAAGAACTAACCAATAAGAACTATCCAATCAAATCATCCTAGCGCGTCTCACATTTTAGCTCCCATAATATTTTAATATTATCTGTTACTTTATTACACGTGACATGTATCTAACCAATAAGAAATAAACAAACACAAACTAACATTAATCTGCGTCTCTTTGCTTTTTATCATTTTTTGACGAAAATTGAATTAGGTGAAACATTAAATTAAGATGTTTCGTAATTGTTCTTTATCCTATCATATATATATATATATATATATATATATATATATATATATATATATATATATATATATATATATATATATACCAGTTAATAAAATAGGAGGAAGCCAAGAAAATGGTAACAGTATTGACAAAGATTTATCATTGTTTTTTAAACACAATTGAATCAGGAACAGAAAGATTTTAAAGTCGAAAATTTAGAACACGCCTGTGTCCTTTTTAACAAGACGGGGAATAAATTTATTATTATTATGAGGTTATTTCTCGTCTAGTTGAATAAACTGTGAAAAGGTAAAAGGAGCACACGTGGACCATCTTTCGTTTTAATTATATATTTTATAAAATAAAAGGGCCGGAAAAACTATCGTACCAAAGAACGGCCGTATAATAAAGTGCTCAATGCTGACCTTTTGAAAAAATAGAATACAATTGGAATAAAAAGAGGTCAAAACACATACATTTCTCCATGTTTGTCCCTTAACCATCCCTTTCCCTACCGAGGTTTCGATCGCTAGGTCCCTTCAGGTGGCTGAAACGACATTAGTGTTAGTTGGGCGCGCTTTGTGAGGAAAAGTGCACAATAACGTAATTCATTCTGCCTTAAGTTTGGAAACGGTATGCTGTATTGATTGGCATTCGCGCCGTAATCTCCAATACGAACATTTCAGAATGTTTAGGTCTCAATCCAAGGAGAGTGCCAAAGATTCGGAAATTTTTGGATGATATATTCAATCAGGATCATAGTGTTTGGAGTGATCACGAGTGATGGCGACGTTATGACTCCATTCATCATTCCACTTCACATCAGACTCAACACGGAGTTCTACATCAAATTGCTTGATAAGAGAGTGCTGCCCTGGGCCAAGCTGCTGGAAGACTCTATGAATGATATGAGGACTCTGCACCATGCCACACTGCGAACAGTTCACTTCTTAAATCTGGTCACCTAACTCCCAACGCTGCACATTATGTGTAGGGAATAGTTAAGCGAGACTCAAAAAACTCCTTCTAACACCATAGATGAACAAAAGGCAAAGATTAGGAGAGTAAGGGTGTCTGCTATGGGCAAATAGTTAACCTCCAAACTGGGTCAGAATACTATGAAAGTGTAAAAATAGGTTGTTATACAAGAAGTAATTTGTTAAAAAATTATTACCAGCAATACATTTTTGAAAAACATTACCAGCGATACGTTTTTGAATAAAAAATATCACCAGACATAGATGTCTGAAGGAAAAAATATTACTAGCAATATATTTTTGAAAAAAAAATATTAGCGGCAATAAAAATTTTTGTCAGCAATAAATAACACATTGAGGTTGATATGCCGTAAACCAAACCAAACCAAACCGATCCGAACCGAACCGAACCGAACTTTCTTCTCGCTTTTCATTACAACCGTATCTTGGAGTTACTTCAGTGATTCTTCTTTGTTTACCATAGACATTTTGTCAACTGCGTATTTTTAGGATTGCAGCCATTAATAATAAATGAAAACAAGACTTCGAGTTCTATCAGATTCCCCTTGATGTATTGGCCGAATAAATCGGGTAAGAGGATATATCCTTGCCTTGCAGCGTTTTTGTTTTCGTGTACTCGCTCCATTCGTTTTCTATCCATATCCAGATATTTTTCTCCCAGAGGATGTTCCAGATTATTCAAATAGCGTTCCCGAATAAATCAAGTTTCCACAGTAATCAAAGAAATGTTATTGAGACTAAAAAACATGCATTGGCCATTGAACCACTTGCTTGTTCCATCCTAATTTGGTGAGTATTTTCGACTTCATAGACTTGTTCTTCAGCTTTCATTCTTTGGCTTATTGCTTCTCTCTCTCTCTCTCTCAATTTCCTTTCTTCTAATTGCCACGATAATGACTCTCCATGAATTCCTATTCTTTATAGCTCTAATAACGTTTGTCCCTTAACCATCCCTTTCACTCTCCGTCCTGTTAACCTGCTTAAGTAGTTTACACGATCTCTCATTCTCCTTTAAAATGCCCTGTGTGTGACAAATTCTTCGTGTCCTCTTTCCTCTTTTTTGTGTCCCAGAAATATCAACTGTTTACATTTTTCTTATAACTTCCTAATTGCATACGTTTTGTCTATGGTACATCAGAATCCGCCTGTAAAAGCATCTAGTCTGTTCATCTGTGAGAAAATTGTGAATTCTAATTAAGTGCCTTAGCACAAAAATGCATACATCACGTGTATGATTTTTCTTTTTGTAATCTGAAGAATTAATTAAAAAAAAAAAAACACACCATCAAGTATATTTATAACCTCAAAGTACATTCTTTACAATTAAAAAAAAATATTATTTGATGTTTCAGATTACAATTTTGATGACAACAATAACATTGTAAATATAAATATATAATTCAGTAATGAAATTATTATAATTTTTTATATTCCTTGGTGTTTCTATTTATGAAACGATGTCAAGGATGTTAGTTTAGTTTCCCCTCCATTCATATCAAGTATTTTCAATGATAACTTCCTTCATTTTATGTGCCACGTCTCTTCAGGATGTAGGCGATCATGACTCTCCACCCCCCTATCTTTTGTAGCTCTCAATAAGATTTGTCCCTTTGCTACTTC